TATATATATATATATATATTCACATGGTCTTAATATTTAAAAGTTGGTACCAATGGCAAATATTAAATTGTACATTAATTATAATATATAATTCAAACAATTCTCAATTTTTACACAGTTTTTATAAATGCCAATAAATTTATTATACATGGTAAATTCTAATCAGATGATAATACAAAAATCCTTTACACTGTTGTGCATAAACTGTTTTCTCCATAAATTAACTCAAGAATATTTTCTGTCTTAAATCTACACACTCTTATTTCCTTTTCAAATTAAAAATAAAACAAAATTTAGCGTGAAGCCCATCAGTTTTTTTCCCCCTTTCTTATTGACGTGAAAATCAAACAAACAAGAATACATTATTTGCATATTTTTCCTACTCTCACCGAGAGATCATTATTGCGATTTGCTAACGTGCGTTGTGTGGTTGTCAAATGCTTGGGATCGTTGAATACAAATTAGTTATCGATTATCAATTTTAAAATATTATGTAAATTATTGTTCTTAAATGTTAAGAACACAAACTGATATAATTTTCTGAAATATATAATATATTGTCTTAAAGAACTTTTTCATACAAATTTCACAACAACATACAAGAAGATTTTTTTTCCAAATTCTTACACTGTATGTATGCAGAATGAAACATGTTCATGAAAAAAAATGCTTGAACTTGGATGCCATTCATGTGTGGGTGTGGGTCCTAAACCGTTTAGATTCGTGGGTAGGTTGAATTATATAATATAGTATAGTACTATACTATTCATGTGTCTCACTCGTCACTTATCTGACCTTTGCTTGCGCCAATGGCCATGCTTCCAAACTCACCGGTTACTATTTTTAGTGGACGAGAGAGTACACATAAAATCTCTTTTTTACTTTTTTATTTTTAACTTTTTCGAATTTGATATTTTTACTTAGTCCAAATAGAAATAAACTTGATTTATTAAATAAGATATTATATTTAAGTCCTATAAACAAGAAAAAAACATGATAAAAAAATAAATCATTAAAGATAATTATTCAAATTTCCTATTAAAAATTATCAATAAAATTAATAAATATTTTATATCAATAACATAATTACTAAAAAATTATTATATTTTTACATTAAAAAAACTTACATCCACCAATTATGAATGCGATAAAGATTATGATATGGTATGAAAAGTAGGGTGTAATTTTTAAATATTTGGGTGGATATTATTGTTTTGTCTTTTTATAACCGGTAGGTTAAGACATCACTCCACATTCGACAAATAGAACAAGCAAGATAGTAAAAAGTTACGGATCCAAAAATTAAAAATACTAGTAAAAAATTGATCATCGTGATAACGTAATTTTGGGCCTTCGCCTTTCTCATTATATTTTAATTTACTATACCAGAACAATTATATTTTGATTTCCCTTAGAGGCTTAGGCTTGTTATAGTTTATTTAATGCATGAGCTTCTTTGAAAATTATAATTAAGAATGTGTTTGCCCGATTAAACTTGTTTTTTTATTCATAAAAAATAAAATTTGTATTAGAGTTACAACTTACAACTACACATTCAATTGATTAAAGTAAATTCATTCTCTCGATGCATTAAACTAATTATAGCTGTAGAGAAAATTTAACTCAATTAATTGACCATGTGAGTAAATTCTTTGAAACCTTTTGATGTTGGAACTGTGAGGTTAAAAAAACACCGTGAAATTATATAAAAACAATACGATCTTTCATGTACACATTTATCTATGTCATTTATAACCTTCTAAATGTCATCAAATTTCTCAATTTTCTATCATAAATCATTCACTATTTTATTACTTCTTTTATTATTTTATTTTTTTTTACAAAAATGAGATTCATTCAAGTAATTTATTATTATTTTATTTTATTAAATACACAAAGACACGCTGTATATCTATTTTATACTAGTTAAATTAAAAGTGTTTCACATATTATGATATTATATTAGTTTATAACTTATATTTTATTTTGTACAATCTTGCAACGGTATTTTTGTACAATATCCTTTTTTAACATATTTCAATTATTTCTGTCAAAAAAATTTCCAATAACTAGCATAACTGCATAAGGTCAGTTTTCACATTGGTTTAAAGATTATTCTAATTTTCATAACTTTATATCTTACATTTGTAAAGTATGGCATAGCTATAGTAAGATTGACGTGCGACTTTGAAAAGTTAGAAGCAAAATGTATCGATCTCCAGAGGTAAATGAAATGAGAATGGACCCTCTCTTTTCTTCTGCAAGATATTAAGACGACACATAATCTTATTGGTTGATGGAGTTGACTTGAGATTTGAAAGTGGGGTATATTAAATGAGGTTTTATTTAATTATCTTATAGATCACGTAAGTCGTTAAGGAAATCTCTAGAAAGAGGTTCCCACCACGACCATTGTGGTTCGTCTAGATCAAACAAGACTTTCTCAATTCTTCATTCCTATTCTACTATGGTGGAATTTTACACAAAAGGTGGATGCCATGCGTGCCAATGCAAGCAAGCAAGCATGGATTGCGTCATTGTGTGATACTTTTTCAACATAATTAGGTAGTTTGGAGTTTAGACCAATCTTAACGAGGTAGTTTTTGCATGTTGAGGTTACGTGCGTGCATCCGAGTTTGTTTTGATATTGTGTCATGGTTGATTCTGGTTTTAGATGAGATCGTATCTTGTATTGATCTAATTTTATTTTATTTTTTTTGTGAAAAAAAAATCACTCTATGTTGGAATTAACTTGTGTTTTTTATTTATTTTTATTATAAATTTAAATATATAAGATTCTTTTTTATGTATTTAAAATAAATATATTTTAAAAGAGTTTAATCCAAATTCAATAATCCACACAAAAGAAAAAGAGAAAAAAGGACGAAATAAGAAGGGGGAAGGAGAACCTTTCTCCACGACATGATTGATTGCCATACCATTTCACGCTTTTATGGTGGTGCCTTTCAGTGGCCACCCATTCCATCTCCACTTCCAATTATTGAAGATTTCGTGATCAACTATTTTCGCGCCATTTTTATCTTCCTCTCTCGGCCACGGAAAAAAAAAAAAAAGAACAAGCAACATCATCCACCCGCAAGAGAGAGAGAGAGAGAGGAATCATCTGCCACGTGTCCACTCATTATTCGTAGCAACTCCCACAAAATTGGCACTCATCACTACCGCCGGAGACACCACGAGTTTCTTATTTCATGAATCCTCACGATTCAAAATCGAAACCATCCATCATTTGGTATAAGTAACCATATCATGGACCGAATTTCTCAGGAATGGCTTCAATTTAGTTTTGGTTTCAATTAGTAATAACTGTTTGTTTCTAATCTAATATTCTTTCTAATCTAAAAAGAATATTCCACGTTGAAATCGTAAGCACCGCTTAATTTTCAACGAGTTTCGTGTTGAAACTTCCATCTAGCGTATCGAGTCGTGCTTTCGAAATCGAGATCTGAAATTGACTTTCGTGTTTGAAAACGAGACAATCAAATTATGCATCCACAGCGAGGTTTACAGGACGTAAGAAGAAACAAGGAACGTTAATCAATGCTTCGAAACTCCAAACAAACAAAACTATTTTCAATCATTCACCAAAATTTTACAACAGATTGGATCCACGCGAAAATGGATCGCGATCATTATCATCATCGATATACATCTAAGAAGAAGAATGAGTCTGAAAATGCGAAAAGCTAGGAGGAGGAAGGAAGCGGAATGGAGGAGGCGGTGTTCTTGTTAAGAAGGAGGCCCTGCGCGCGAGAAAGCTGGTCCATGAGCGAGACGATGCGCGCGTGGTAGTCACGCGCCTGGTAAACGGCCTCCGCCTCGAGCTCTCCGAGCTGAGAGCAGAGCCTCTCCTCGGCCTCCTCGGCCACGCGCAGCCTCTCCCACGCGCTCTGCAGTTGGCGCTTCATCTGCTCCTCTCTCTCCTTGCTCTCTCTCAGCTCCTTCTCGAGCTCCTCGTTCCGCTTCTTCAGCTCGCTCTCCTCCGCTGCTGCCGGCGGCGTCTTTTTGTCTTGCTTGCCGCCGATGCCGATCACCGCCATCATCGTGAGCGCCATGGGATGGTTTTGGAACTGAAGCTTTGTGTGAATAAGGAAAATGGAATGTGTATATTTGGAACGAATAGATAGAAGAAGGTTTGTTTTGGTTGTGTGGTGTGGTGTGGCGTGGCGACGTGGGTATAAATAGAGTGTGATCAAGTGTGTCCAGGTTCAATGAATCTGGTTTTCACCCAAGGATTTTCTAACCGCTGATTCCGTTCAACTTTGCTGACGCAATTGCTTGCATTTCCTTTCTTCTTTCTCTCTTTTCGATTTTTCTAACGCGTTATTTCTTCTATTTCATACTGTACTTTTTTTTAATGTCGTACATGTATTTTTTAATAAATATTAATTATTAAGAAATAATGCAAGATTTGCTTTCAAATACAAGAGCTCGACTTACAACTTCAATTTTATTTGTGTTAAAATAACATTTGAATAGTATAAATCATAATTTATAAATATAAATTAATTTTAATTATCAATTTTTAAATATTGTGTAAACTATGTTTAAAGATAAAAAAATAAATAAACATTAATTATATAAATTATTATGATGAAATATAATTGAATTAGTATTTTCATTAAAGGTTTGAATATGATTATACATTAATTTAATATTTAAGTGAAATGTTAATGTCCAATGTTAATAAATAAATTATAACAAAATAATTAATAATTAATAATTTACATTTTGTAACTTTCATATTTTTATTTTATTTTTAAATCAAATTCATAGAGACATGAAATGTATGTTTTTTACTAGTTGATAATAAACATGATATTTTTTTTTGGTTTACATATTTTATGATTGTTTTATTCTTTAAATTTTAAAATAATTTTTTCTCTCTTACACTTCTTTTTTTTTTTTTGTAAGTTTATTATTTATTTTTTACATAATTATTAAAACTCATTGTTAATCACTTATACATATTTAATTTCAATTAAAAAATACAAGAAAGTAGAGTGTGTGTGTGTGTTTTACATTAATAACACATAAGCAAAATTGAAGGAACGTCACTCTTCGTATTTTATGTTAGGTTGCGAGAAGATATCCTATGTGATATGTCCTAAACTGTAAACGATTGAAAAAAAAAAGTTGTAAAAAAAAAACTAATTAAATACATTTTATTTTTACTATTTCACATAAAATATAAATTATATATTTTTAAATATCTTTAGACACATTTATGATAAATAATATTTGTATTTATTATCTTAAGATTATATTTAGATTAAAAATATTAAATGAAGTTGACTTATTGGTATTTATTTATATTTTAATCTAAAAAAATGTAAGCATTTTTTACTTATATAAATTTAGAGAGAATATCATTTATATTTTATGATAAATATTTTAAAAATTAAATAAACATTTATTTCTAATAAATTACATTATAAAATATTTATATTACAATTTATGGTCATTAAAATGATAATATAATACTTTTTAATTATTTGTTACAAGAGAAAATTCAAAATTAAAAATATTCTCTCTTTTTTCTCTTTTATTAAAATATTTAATTTAGTTTTTTTTGTTTTTTTTATATAATAATATCATGATTAGAGTCGCGTTTTTTTTACTCACACGCAATTAATTCTAATAAAACTCAATTCAAATTATTTAATAAGATTTTGGATTCTCTTGAAACCCAACTCACCTAAACTTTTTAATATAAGAAAAAAATAAATTTGAATTTTGTAATTGAAAGAGACATATTTAGATAAGATATTCTAATAAAAATAATCAATATAATTTTTTAACAAAGATTAATGATCAATGATATTAATTAATACTTCAAATCAATATTATGGTGATCTAAAAGTAGAAACGTTTCATTTGTCATGTAAATTTCTTCTATTATTGTAAATGTTAATTTAGATAAAAATAATAATAATATTTTTTTAAGGAAATATATTAATATTTAAAAAATGTAAGACTTATTCAATATTTAGAATAAACAGATTAAATTAAATAATGTAAATAATAAATAAAAAGTAAAACTAATTTAACTAACTTTTTTTATTGTAACATTGTTAAAAAAAAAAAAAAAAAAAAAAAAAAAAGCATAACCAACAACATCATTAATCAATATTTAATCATATATTATCAACACATAGAATTTTCATCACATAACACAATTCATACTACATGTTTACAACCCATCTTTCATGCCAACTTACCCACCCAAACAACACCAATCAACCTAAGCACCTAAAACAACTTTCAATTTAACCAAACCACTTCTTGTGAAATGACAACCTTCACATAAAACAGCTTATTCGGAGTTATACTATTTCTATCATGATCATTCTCATCGCGTGTGAAAGATAAGAAGATTTCCTACAACTCTCATGAAGACACCAAGTCCTATTTCCTTCATCTACCTTGTTAAAAATTCTAAAAACCGCAACAGCTATAACCAATGTTGACAGCTTGACCTCTGTTCACTAAAACAGTCATATCTGGAGTTCTAGAACTCCTTTTTGGGTGATTCCGGTGCCATTGGAAAGCTAACATCCAAGGCTACAACTTTCATGAAGACCCTAAGACCAAATTCGGTCATCTAGACCCAGCGCTGCAGCGCTCAATCCAGTGCTTTAGCTCAAACTCTTTGCCAATCCATTTCCTTTCCACGGCCATGGATGTGAATCCACGGCCATGGCTACAAGTTTCTACCATTCTAATTTTTTTCACAGCTATGGCTGCAAAAACCACAGCCATGGTTGCAAGTCTCTGCCCTCACGTTTTTCCCCTCCCACGGCTATGGCTGTGAATCCACAGCTTTCAGCTGTAGCTGTGGGTTTCTACAAGCTCATTTTTCCTCCACGACTATAGCTGTGAATCCACAGTTATAGCTGTGGGTTTATGAACTTCCAAAACTCCATGGATTTCACCTTCGTTTTCACTCAAATCCTCCATGAACCTGCAATCCAAGGAGACCCAAACCATGCTACAACTTAAATGCACCACTACCAACCACATGCAACCCAAAAACATCAAGAATCACAACATGCATGCACCAAGATTCAAGAGATCATCAAGAACAACCACAAGGTTTCAGCTTTACCACATGCAACCAAAATGTATGACAAATTCGAGTTCTAGCTTCCCTTACCTCAAATCGAAAAGAGAATCTGAGCTTTGAGTTTACAGGGAGGAAGAAGAAGAGGAAGAATGGAGACAAGGCTGTGGCTTTGAGCTTCCTTGCTCTTCAATCTTCAGCAACATTCAAGAAAATCAATGGAAGAGATTTTCAAAAGAAAGAGTGAAGGAGGAAAAAAGAATAGAAAGGAAGGAAAATGAGTAGGAGAGGATTCATGGATCTCACATTTAAAATAGTTATTTATTTATTTTTATCTTTTTAATCTTCTTTAGTGCCAATAATTTAAGATAATTTTTTTAGTCCTTATACTTTAAGTTTTGTAATCATTTTGTTCTCTATTGTAATTTCTTTATCGTTCACATTCTGTTTATGTTAATGTGACAAAGCTATTCAATTTTGTCAAAGTAAAAAATATGTTGTAAGTGAGAATCCAAAAGAAGTATGATGGGTTGAGATAGTAAAGTAAATTCGACATTAAACACATAAAGTTGAATTAATATATTTTTTTTGTCACATAAACATAAAAGATATAGTGTTATAAAAAAATTAACAACAAATACTAAAATAATTAAAATATGTAAATATATGAATTTAAAACTCTAAACTGTAAAGATTAAAGAGAATTGAAAAAGTGAAATTAAAAAAAATAAAAAGATATTGAGAATAATAATAATAATAATTATTATTATTATTTTAAATGGCATCGTCTGGTGTGAGTGTGGACATAATATAGATCCATAAATACCAATAAGACTAACTTAGTTTATTTTTTGGGTTAAAGGTAGCTGCTCGGTGCCTAACCTATAATTACAAATTAGAAAGGGGTGACCGGTGGCAGTTTCGATAGAGTGGGTCGTATAAAAGGGGGAACATAGAAGAAAACAGAACGTTATCAAAAACAAAAACCACTTTGGATGGAACAAGGGAAGCAGGGAATCATGGTGGCGACTCAGAACCCCATAGAGCAACTCCAAGCGCGCTTCAAGGAGTTGGAGGCTGGATTCAAGCTCTGGCTCTCCAAGCAGTCCCTCCCCGTCGAGGCCGCCGTCGTCACCAGTACCAGCGCCGCCCAGGGCGCCGCCATCGGAGCCTTCATGGGCACCCTC